AAATAAAAATAAAAAAATAAAAAAATAAATTATATATATATATATATATATATATTTATTTATTTTTTTATTTTTTTTCTGAATTGGACTTTATAATTATCCTTTACCAGAAAATGACTTAATTTCTGGTGGTACACATATTTTGTGCTGACTTCAACATTCTGTTAATAGAAGGTTGGCATTTGACACATTTGGCCTTTAACAGATTTATTTGTGGCACCTGGAGCATATAGTATAGCTTCTATAGGAATGTCTGAAACACGGCTTGATGCCTGTGGTTCTTTAGAGTTTTCCAGCCATTTTTCTTTAGAGAAAGACCACAAAAAAACACAGCTGAGATGAGATGACTCCTTATGTGTGTCTGGAGTGGCTTTCAGCCGCTAAGTAGTGGGAGGGCACATGAGAGGACAGCTTCTGTCTGGATTCATCAACCAGGAAACCCGTTTCATGATCCAGACATTTGATAAGCTGCATGCCATTTAAATCAAATCTTTTTTTTTCTTTACACATGCAGCCATACATTAGTTTTGACAAGGTTAAATCTGCACACGGTTGACTAATGAGGTTAACTGAGCCCATGACAAGCTGGAATATTTTCACTCTGTCCAAACAGCAAGGCTAAACACATTCAGTAGAGAGACTTTTACTTTTATAATACGCTGAAATACCAGGAAACTTTACAGTATATGTTACTATTAGGTAACTTGTACTTGGAGTACTTCCAATAAAACAACTCTTTATGTGTTTTTCTGGTCTAAAATAGCAATCTAACCTTACTGCATTAGTACCTGAAGTGATTGCCTCGTATCATCCCCTGGAAGCTCTTTCATAACAACCCACTTTGCATATTCAAGGTGAGTAAAGTAATTTCTGCTTCCCGATTTGCGCGATAAGAAAACAATTCTGCGACCCATCAGCTGAATGACCTTCTGATTAGAAAACCTCTGATGAGTTCCCTGCTTGGTGTTGATCAAATTAATTTTAAAGTGGCATATCTCACCCAACAGTATACACATAATTATAATACCGGAAATACTTAACCACCAGCAGGCTGCTCAGTCTGAACTGTACATTCAAAAACACAGAAAAGAGTGGAAATAAAAAACCCTGAACACAAAGTTTTGGTTCAAATTGTTTGGTTCAATTGTGATATTTTTTTTGAAAATCACCAAAACATGACTGGTCATTTGCAGTAAACTTTAAAAGCATGGACAACCACACTGATAATTCAAAACTAATATCATGACAGTGAAAGGAGTTATCTGGCAGAGACATATTTGATGGTCTCAATGAAAAAAGAAAATCATTTTCAACTTATTCCAAGAGTTTTATGATGGTCTCTGACCGAAACTCGGCAAAAAGGCAGAAAAAACCTTTTCCATTCAAGCTTTGACTATGACATTTTTATTTTTGTGTCTTCTTTCTTATGTAAACCGTAAGGTTATTTTGAGCATTAAAAAAATCCTTTAAAAAAAGAAATAGCTGCATATAAACCTTTTATGTCCTATACAGCTGTCAGTGCAGACAGGCCCAGAAGGTGAAAAACTTTTAACCTTTTGCTTTTTCTTTTTTTATCTGAGGCAAAAGGTAAAATATATTTGGTCTCTTCCCAAGTGATAAGAAACGGACAATGAAAAAAGGAAAAAGGAACTTTTGATTTGCCATTTTAAAAGGACACAAAAGACTAAAAGGGCAGGAATGAACCTCTTTATGTGCACACTCTAGCGTGTCAACCACGTCAGGATGAGGGATTTTCTGCTTTAGGGCACAAAAAGCCAGATTATTAACATTCTAACGGCTGAATTGCGTCTTATTTCTGTGTATTTTACGATAAGGGAGGGCACAACTGTATTTCCTCCCATTATATTCAGGGATTACCAACAAGGCACGTATTTTAAAACCCTCAAAGAATATTTGAAGGGAATCATTTCTCCATCTAGATTTGGAGAGGTGTAGGTTCTCCTGATAAGAATAAACACAATCAAGGTTTGTCATTTGTCATTTTCAGAAGGTGATCCTCTAAAACACCTGTGTTGGTTTGCAATCCAAGCCCAGGAAAAAATCTTCAGAATATCAATCAGTGTGCAAAAAAGCAGAGTGAATGTAATCTCTTGTAATTCTCCACTTTTGTCAACTTGTGAATTGCTTGCCATTTCGTGCATCAGTTTGGATGCATTTAATCCTGATAACAACAAAGAAAAGTTTCTTCAACTATTTTCAGCTTGTAGTCAAAATTGTCTTCATCTCCAGCAGAAAATCTCTAGATGCAAAGCATGTGTAAACATTCTTGAGAGAAGCAACTGGTTCCGTGTTCAGAAAAACTGTTGCAATAATTCAAATATGTTGGCGATTTTTTTAAACACAGAAAATCCAAAAAACCTTGCAGAACCTGCATAGAGCTCTTCAACCTCTGCCTTAAAAAGAGGTTCAAAGGCTCAGACCTAGCATGAACACACAGTTATTTCTGCGTGCCCCTACACCAGAACTAAGATTGCAAAAGGGTGAAAGAGAAACATTCAACAAGCGTACAACCGAAAAGAAAACAGCCTGTTGAAAAGCTTTGAGACACTTCAGTAATTACTGTCATGATGATTACATGTCAGAGTGAAAATGACTGCCGACTGCTAAAGACCTTTTACTTTCATATTTGTTCATAAATAAATATTTAGAACTACAAATTGAAATGTCAGTCAAGGTGAGTTCAAATGAAGATGCTTTTATAGCCCGTAAGTGGAAAAAAAAATGATACTCTTACCAGTGAGAGCTCGCTGGCGTCTATTCGACCGCTATTATCGGCATCAAAGCGTCTAAACATCATGTCGGCCAGTTGCTTCTTGGTGGCGATGTTGTCCTTTTGAGCTCCGTGCATGGCAGATCCCATGTATCGCCTGTCATATAAATCCATGATCTTAGTTTTCAGGCGGCGGTAGTCGCTCAGTCTGCAGTCATCATCTGAGGAGAAAAGAAAAGAACAAAATGGTATGAAATTAGACAAGGAGACTGCAAAGTATATTTTTTACTTTGATTCAGTTACTAAAAAATGTCATTCAGGTGTTAAAATTATATCTAAGAAAAAAAGGGTATTTACTCGAATCTTGTATGATCATAAATATTTAAACCCAAAATCATACCCACAAAAAAAAAAAAAAAGCTAAGTTTTGGGGAAATGTTTCAAATCCAATGATTCAGTCCAAATGAATAAATAAGACAAGTAGAATATCCCCAAAGACGGATATTAATAATTTCCTGCAAATACTAAACAAAACCCAAATTGGAGCTTTTCTATGACTATCTACATCATAATATAAGATCCAACATCTTATATTCAAATGAGTATAAACAGTAGAAGACGCACAGTATTCAAACTCTGCACAGATCCACCACACAGGTGTCAAGAACAAAGCCAGGGAAGGTTTTTTTGTCAAAGAATCAACGACATGAAAGGCTTCTGGGGAGTGGAGATGCAGCCAAAAGAGAATATAATGACTCAAACTTCAGGTTTACACGTGTCAGATCAACTTCGCATTGTTCCATCTGGAGGTGTTTTTCCTCTAATGACAGTCGTATTAGGAAATGTCAGCCAGCTCACAAAGAAAAAACCGAGATGCTCCTGAAATCTCCGAGGAGCAAATATCAACCATGTACAACGTGATTATCAGTTATGAATTCAATCTGTTACTTGGATTTCTTGTTTGAGAAAAATTTAACTCTGTATGGGATGATCAAGCGTGAAAGATTTAGTGAGTCTGCTAATGAGATCCCCCCCCCCAGCAGAACTGAGTTCTCACTGAGGGCTGATAGCTAGTTAAGCAGAATTGGAGCCACCTCAGAAACCGGTGACATGTCATTATCAAATATGTAGGACCTGGTTTATCGTCAGATACATTTCCTCTTGTATTCCTTCAGCCAAAAGAAAATTCTTGAGAAAAAGAGATGCTCCACAGATCCCAGCACCAACCAACATGCTCGAAGATCTCCACCCGCTCCACCAAGAACACCAACGGTCTTTCTCCAGGGTGTGAGGACTTCTCTCCTGACATTTATTTATTATTCAGTGCTATGACTGTGAACGATGTGAGATGTATGAATATCTGGTTCAAATTCCAAATAAGGGGTGGTCATTTTTGTAAAAAATTCATATAGAACCAGCAATTATAGAAAATAGAAATTGAATTAAAGAACAAAATCAAGCGATGGATATATTGAACAGTCAGAGCTTTAAGGAGGTCCTCAATGACAAATGTAATTTACACGAATTAATCCCAAAAACAGACTAAAACAGAAAATTGTTTGCAGATTCTTTGCCAATAAAACACCAATGCTTATAGTTTTCTTATTTTAAATCTGTTCGAATGCAGACACAAGGAAGATTTGGATCATCTCATTCTATACAGAACAAATTGTTAGTTAAACAATAGATCTATCTTCAACTTTCACAGTCCGCAAATATATGTTTCAGGTTCATTTTTAGAGCATCATTGGAGGAACCAGTCCCAACTTTCATGATCACAGAAAGCATTGTGTTTCGGAGAAAACAGAAATATCTCACTGGGGCAAATACACTGATCTGCCGTAGCGAGGTGGAGAAAGTTAAACAGCAAGAAGCTCTGGAACATCACATCAGTTTGTGTTTGCAGGTAAAGCTCAGCGTGAGACGCTCACCGAGGAGCCGCCAGATGTTCCAGCTGCACAATCAGGCTGCCAACAGCAGCCGTGGAGGTGGGTAAGAAGTTTTGTAGCCGCCTCAGAGGGGAATAAACCAACAAGACGAGCTTGGAGATGCATAAAGTCTGCTTTGGTATTTTAAAACAGTCCGTCAACAGTGAATTACTGAAATGGCTACTGTAGAAATTGGCCTCAGAAAATGGCCCGAGCGTTTGATTTGCAGATTGCTGGTGCCGCGTATCGCGAGGCGGCGTCTGTTTTGACAAGCGTCACAGAGTCAGAGGGAGCTGCCTCGGTCACAAATGGCAAAATGAATAAAAGATAAATGGCTGCCGATGCACCCCCCGGGGATATGAAGGTTAGCCATGTCAAAAAACCGTGGATCGGCACATGCGAATTCAGACACAATGTGCAACAAAAAGCTGCACAGCCCCATCTGTTTACAATGCTTTAGACTTATTCCTCAATATGGATCTTATAAAATTCCCCAAGTTGGGCATGAAAAGTGTTTTTTACAGAATGGAATACACCAAAGAGTTCATCTGAATGCTGTCAACACAGTTTTGCCCGGCAGAATGCAATCTGACTCTGGTGTTGATAACACTCTCAGTGCCGTCTGCCACAAACGCTGCACAGCTCACATCACAGCCGAGCGGACACTTTCCTGGAGTCCTCTCAGAAAGTTACGCACAGAATCCAAAAAACACATCACTCCTATTTTCCAGAAATACAGGCATTTAAATCTTTAAAAAACTGTTTGAATTAATTCACTAAAGGAAACATCTCAGAGGTTAATATGATATTTTCCTGTTCTTCTGTTTCAGAAAACTGATAAAGAGACACATGAAACAAGTCTTATTTTAAGCATTATCTGGTATGAGATGTAACCTAAATGGGCACATGGTTTATTGCACAAATCTGAGAGAATTCAGTTTGCAAAATGCCTGCTGCTTCCAAACAGTGGGCCGGAGATGGGAGGAACCACGTGTCCGTCACAGTCTACTGTGTTCTAGCTTCAAGCAATCGGATCAATGGAGAGGAGCCAGAGAGCAAAGCCAAAAAACTGTGGAGGACAGGACAAAACAGAGAAAGCACTCTCAATAAATATCATCCTGGTCTGTTGTAACCTTAAGTCAGAAGCATCTAAACTGACCTGGTAATGAATGACACATTTCAAGCTTGTCTACGTCTCGAAAAAGAAAATTACACAAAAAAATGTCCATGTATCCACGGCTGACAACATTATACTCTCAACAAATAACCATCAACTGGATTCCAGAGACTCTTAGACTAGTACAACCACACACTGTGTTTATGTCTATAATTGAATAAATCTCAGTTAGGTCGTTATGCTAATAAAGAAGTTACCACTAAAGGCAAAATAAAGAACTTAAAGTAAACTCAAGCAAAAAGATAAGCATTATCATTAAGTTTTTATTTTGTATTTTTATGCATATAATTCCACAACTGCCAATAAAGAACCCAACTTTTCCAACACTGAAATAGGACGCATGAAAATAGGAATGTAAATACTATTGCATTTCATAAAAGAGAATCAGGGAAGAAAAAAATAGATTCTAGAATAAATAAGCAGAGGTGAAAAGGGCATGCATTGAGTGAGTGGAAACTCATCAAGTTGACTCCACATGCAGGGGGTCATTGGGTAAAGTGTGAGACCAGTCTATTTATGAGTGAATTACAATGTAGTTTAATTAGCGTATTTAACTTGAGCTCAATTTTGAGTAAGATAAGAAAAACACACAGAAAATTAAAGGTTTATATTTGACTGACTGCATAATTTCACCTCTGACAAAAAAAATTTTAAGGCTATTGCTGAAATCTTTTATTCAACACTATATTTTTTTTATAGCTTTTTGAACTATTCATTCAATGCAAAATCACATCTCAGGCTGAACAAATATTGTTTAAAGAAAGACAAGAGAAGTGAGACTACATGTGGAATGACTCCTGCTGGCATGCTGTAAAATGAAGGTGCTGATCTCAGTTTTATTCATGGTTAAAACAAATTAAACTTTCCAGGACCAGAAATGATTTACTGTAACTTTAGTGGCTTTGGAAGTGTAAGTCTGTGACAGTTTCAGCATGCATGAAGAGGTTTTGGAGAGGTTTGAAAAATAACTAGTGGCTGTTAATGGATGACATCTATTAGGAAGAAGGTGGAGTTTGGCATTAACAAATGAAAGGAAAACGCTTGTGGTCACTCAGATTTCCCCATGAGTCTTATTAATTACTTACCATGTGATATGAGGGTCCCTACCTGAATTGAAATATGTTTGGCAAAGCCTATCTTTATTGATTTGTATCCACATGATTTATGTGAAAAGAAAGAAAAATATACAAGTTGAACAAAGATGCTGGAGATTACTGTTATGTAGCAGTTAAGCTTTATTATCCAAAGCTAAGACTTTTACAGCTTTATCCATTGTCCGGCTCTTAGCCCTAATGGTACGTTGTTTTAATTACTGTAATATTTTAGCGTGCTTTTACAGCCATTTGTGCATCCATAAATCATCATCAACATTGTGTGGAAAGAGCTGTTTAAATGTTTCTTCTTCCCTAAGTATTTCATACAAAAGAGTACTAATTCATTTGGAAAGTAATTGTTTGAAATTGCATATTGAGATACAAAAATTCATTATACTCGTTATTTTCTATTCATTTATTTAATTGTTTGTTTAAATTGATTACATTGATTAATTTTGTTAGGGTGCTGTTTCACATATAGATGGAATTTGCCATCAAAGGGAAAGAGCCATAGGAGTCATTAAGTCATAGCTGATTTTTTTAGGCTTTATTCAGCAGAATTACTCAGATTTTTTTAATGACTTTAAAATCAATACCTGACACAACTCCATATGGAAGGTTGATTTGCAAAAATCATGTCAACATCCAAAACTGAATAAACATATTAATTAATTCCACCCTTACAGTGCATTGTAATTTGATCAAATTAAGTACATTTCTGTAGAAATTAAAGAAATGCTTTGGGGAGAAAAACTGATAGTGCCACCTTAGCTATGTAAAAAGTCAGACACATTCAAAAGAGACTGATTCAGATTTAATTTATTTTTTTAAAAGGCACGATCCAGACAACAGTATTAAATGCAAAATGAGGAGCAACACTCTCTCATAACAGCAGCAACCACAAATATCAGTTAGAAAAAATAAAAATAAAACACTACATCTATTTAAAAGACAAATGTCTTCAACATTTTCAACCTTTTTATGAGTCTGCTGCTTTTGTTTTCTTAACCATAGCCCATTACTCAAGCCTAATAGATACTTTTTATGCTGCAAAAACAAGGTGCTACCTTTTGGATTAATGAAGTCTTAGTTCATTTCAGAACCCATCTTTGTTCTGAAGTGGTTCCCGTTTCATCAGGAGGCTGAGAGCAACATTCAGAATACATAAAACACCTATTTTGTTTTACAGTCTTTCTCACAAGTGGAACAATACCCATCATTCAAACCAAAACTTGATGATGTTCTCCGGCAAACAATAATCATCCACAGGGAGACGAATCTACACTTCATGGAGCATGAAGGCTAAAATAAATGTTTGTTGTGAAGTTATTGTTGTCTGAAAGCATCTTTTTTTTCCACACAAATCCACAAAACGACAAGGAGATATCAACAGTGAGTCAGGGCCCATCTTGAATATTTTATATGCAACAAGCCCTGCTTTCAGAACTCCCTCAAAAATCAGCACCAAGCACAAATAACACAGATTCACAATTCACACCGAGCCAGAAGAACCAGAAATCATGGCATCAATTCATTTTTTTGGTTCTTAGGAATTAGATGTCATGTGACATGTTCCTGTCACAGTCTTAAGATTATTCTGAACAAACAGCAAAAGAGAAAAATAAATCTCCCTCAGTGAGACCACTGTGGTGAGCAAAGCCCCCGCTCTCTGAAGCCACAGCCATCCCCTTTAAAACACCACTGTTTTATTTATACGGAGAAAAAGTTTACTCAGCAGAAATGTCGAATGCTGAGGCTGTCCCATCTCTGTGAGACTGCATCTGTCTGTAAAGCCCCAGCCCCCACTGCCCACTCTCTCGCTTTTTCGGTCTCCGTCTCCGGGGTTTTCACAATGCATCAAGAAAATCACAGCATGACAACTGGGTTACCCAAATCAGAGGTCACTGATTGCAGTCTTTAAGAGCGAGTCGAGGTGTCACTGCAGCAACACCTGACTGAGCCGGGAATGGATATCTGGGCAGTGAGGCGCCTACCCAGATACCGATGCGAACCTAAAACGCTCACAACAGACATCATCCAAAGACCAAACGTTTCGGCTAAAGTCCCCGAGGTCCGAGTAAAACAAACAGAAGGTATACAAAAGGAGAACGAAGCTCAAATCTGAGATTAAACTTAAATATTTGAACAGAAGCTTTACCAGCAGCTATGTCTGAATACATTAAACAGAAAAAAATAAGCAAACATCTGAGAAAAAACACATTTTAAAAAAGATTATTGATCAAAAACTCTTAATAAATATACTTTTTGAGCTCAGAAATATGTTCTCTTGAAGAAAAGTGCACCGGTGAAATGGGAAAAGTTTTGTGGTAATTGTTTTAGAGAAAACTGTGATGAGAAAAGAACAGTGCGACAAACAGCGCCATCATTTTAGGCGTCTATAGGGACCTCATTTCGTGTCACACCATCTGGAAACTCTCTGGGACAGATCCCCTCCCCGCATTCAGTCTCTGTCACCGCCGTTTCCTCCCCGAATGAGGTTGTAATTCTCACTCAGCCATCTTTCATCCGGACAAGAGCGCTTCCTCACGTCTTTAAATCTGACATATTACTCCACACTGCTCCACTTGTTCCTGGAGTCCAATCATTACGATCCAGAAGACTGTAAACTTCATTTCCCCCAAATTTCCAATCTATGTTACAATAACAACCCTACAACAACAACCCCTTTCCTTTTTTTACTGGCCTTTTTGTTCCAACAATGATTTGTTTGAACATATGACTCATTCATACACCAGTGTTTCATAAAACCTTAACAGGGACGGTCATTTTCTCCAAAGTGAAAGCCCTATAAA